TGAAATGATCAGCCCAGGGATTGCCAGGAGCTCACAGACAAAGGCTTAAAAGCCGGCTCTGTGCACGGTCTCCGGTGGAGAGATTAATAGTATGAATAGTAGTAATTCTCCTTCTCTCCTTCAGGCCAAGCATAAGGCATCTGGGCACCAAATAATTGCCTCCAATGACTACACAACATTATTTTTAAATGCTTCTCTTTTTCTATTTCATTGATGAGGGGTTTGAAGCCGTTTTTAAAGTTTAACAAGTGTTCTTCAACTGGTGATTGCATACACACACTGAGGACCCAATGGATACCACTGCCCAGCAAGAGCAAGGCATGGACTCCTGGTTAACATAACAACATGGATGAATCTCAAACGTGCTATGCTCAATGAAATAATCCAGACCTAGAAGGCTACATCCCGTATGATTTCATTTGTATGTCATTCTGGAAGAGGCAAAACTGTATGGATATAAAACACAAGCAATTTCCAAGGGCTAGGTGGAGGCGTTAACTATAAAAGAACACAAAGGAATCCGGAACGTGACCGAACCGTTCTAGACTTTGATTTGTTACAAGTGAGGAAAGTGCATTTAAAAGGGCGAATCTTATTATTTATGGATTATACCTCAATAAACCTGAACTGTAAGAAAAATTAAGGTCGTGCCCCTGGGATATGTCCTCCAGAAAAAGTCACATGGGAGCTCTGTCATTCAGGACTGACTGACCCTCTGCTCTCCTGTCCCAACAGCCCAACCTGTCATGATCCAGCACAGGGAACAGAACCGACTCCAGGCATCTCCATCAGAAAGGGATTTTAGGGGGATTAGGTGCGCACAGAATCATGAAAGGATCTGCGGAGCAGAGGCCCCCCCTTCGACTTTTTCACTCGAGAACACAGAGAACACACCACGGTAGGGGCCACAATCTAAATGTCAGGACGCTGCTGCCGCCCCAACGAGCTTCTCATGCCGATGCCGGTGGGACTAGGGTCCTAGAGCGATGAGTCTGGCCACCGCAACTGCCTCTAAACACTCACATCTCCAAGGCCCTGCCTGCCAGCAGCACCAGCAGAAGGAACTGGGTGGGTCTTCACCTGAGGTTTCCAAACCTCACGCAAATGTACCTATGACACCTGCCATGCAGTTGAAGCCTCGCCGTAAGAAAGACGGGGACATGGAGTGGTTAGGTTTGCAATCAGGAGAGTGGAAGAAGGATCCACTACTAGAAGAGAGCCAGTTCTCAGTACCTCCCCAACCCCAGTTCTTCCCATCCTAGATCAAGACCTTCCTCGACAAAGAAAGCAAACAAAACCCTTTTTCTGTCTAAATTTAAACTTCCAACGGTGTTAAGAGAGTAGAAAAATTGTTCTACTAATGGGTAAAACCAAGACCCTGGTTCACGTTATTACAGAAGAGTATTTCATTTTCACATTTAGTTCTAGCCCCAGCAGAATAAAATTTTAAGATCACTGCATTTGATAACAGAGCCAATCACAGTTCTAACTCATGCATTAAATATACACTGCTCTGTGAGTTTTATTCTGCTGGGAATTAAGCAGGCTAATCTTGAAAATGCATTAATTTTCCAGACATCTGTAAGTTATTTTATGGTCAGCCCGAATCCGAGGAGGGGAGTGTGATACTGTGATTTATAGTAAGAAAAGAATATCTTTGGTCTTTGTCTGCATTCCGGGAAGAGAGTTCCTAAAAACTCATAGAATTTCCTGAAAGATAAGAGAGATAAAGGTATCTTGTTCTGTTAAGGAGGTAACTTTAGGAAAGCCCCAGGTAACCTAAGGATGAGGAAAGGCTGCCAGAAGGAGCCAGATTAAAGGGTTGGACCTTTTAGTCCCACCCCATCCTTCAGGAAGGGGAGAGAGGCTGGAGATTGGGTGCAATCACTAATGGCCAATGATTTAGCCAACCATTCCTGGATAATGAAGCATCCAAAATCCCCAAGAGAACAGGGTTCAGAAGGCTTCTGGGTGGGTGAACTCGTGGAGGTCCTAGGAGAGTGGCCCAAGTGGAGAGGAAGGGAGGCTCCACTCCCTTCCCCCATACCTTGCCCTCTGCATCTCTTCCATCTTTTCCTGAGTTATGTCCTTTTCTAATAAACTGGCAAATGCTTCCCTGAGTTCTGTGAGCCAAACCAAATTAACACAACCTGTGGAGAGGTCATGGGGAACCTCTGATCTATAGTCAGAAGCACAGGTGACACTGAACTTAGGGCTGGCATCTAACGTGTGCATGTGTGGTGGCGGGGTGAGTCTCATGGGACTGAGCCCTTACTCTGTGGGACCTAACGCTGTATCCAGGTAGACAGTGTCAGAATGGAGTTGGACTGTAGGACACCCAGTCTGTGTCCAATGAGAACTGGGTTGAGTTTGTTGCTTGGTGGTGTTACACACACACACACACACACATACACACACACACACACACGAGGGGTTTTAGAACTGGTTGGTTTGTTGTTGTGGTGTAACACACACACACACACACACACACACACACACCAAAAAGAGGGTAGGTATCTTTCATCTCCAATTATTGCTCCTAAAGACCTAACTTGATCAAAACAATAATAAAAAAAAATTCTATTTAGCTAACGTACCACAGTAACTACAAGTCTTACTTTCCCAATGATCACTCACAGAGTAATTATAATCTCTATGCCAAAAGGGTTAAGGAACCTTCTCATAAAGAAGTTTTCGCTTTTAGGAATTTCACTTCCTTCTTGGGATATTTCTCTAAGTTGTATAACAGGGAGGCAGTGGAAACATTTTCCTTTTCCTGACAGGAAAACTATTAGGTAGATATTACTAGGTTCTTGAACTCTTAAGAAAAAAAAATTTAACAAAGCAAAATCGCCTAAAGTAAAAGTAGTGTCCAGGCAACACTAGCTCCTTGGGTTTTGAGAATCATCTCCCAGAACTGTCACTGGAAAGATTGAGAGGCATCTGCAAAAGCGCTCTAATTCTCCCTCCTCACACCCCAACAAGTCTCTCACAAACATCATCTTATGTGGCTTTCACAACAGAAATAAGGTAAAAATGACAACCAGAAATTAATGACTGTTCCTAACTTAAGGGGAAAAAGCTCTCTCTAGTTCTGTTTCAGGGTTTTTAAAAGTTGAAGTTGAGAGCTAGTTATTTCTTATGGACATTTACAGACTATCGCCTGCCAATGGTACTAACAGGTGAAGGCAAGTGAGCCACTGTTTTAGGTAAACAGAACAGACTTGGCCACCCTAACTTCAGGGTTAGAGGAGCACCCACCCAGGAAAAGCAGGAGAAACACCAAGGAAGGGTCGCAGAATAAGGAAGACCCCACCCCTAACTGGTACACTTAGTAGGTTATAGCCTCTGTTAGGTTTTGCCCAAGAATGTTGCTGAGAGCAAGGATCTCAAAAATTATTACTGAAGATCTAATAACTCACTACTGTACTCTCTAAATTTCTCTCTAGAGCTATAGTTTAAACACATTTATTATGGTGTGAACCCCCAAAGATTCTTTTCCAAGAAAATAAAGGGAACTGCATCTTTCAACCCTCAAGTGCTAGGCACCCCATCCTCAAAGGCCACCCCACCAAAGTATCTCAAAAGAGCAATACAACAGAGTGGTTCCTAAAATGTGCTCTGCAGCCAACTTACCTTCCAGTTTACCTACACAGGAGCGGTGTTTCCAACCTGAAACTCATTGTACAGGTTGAGGCCAATGCCTTTCAGCATCTCACATCCCCTATGCATTTCTCACCCAGCAAAGGCACCGTATCGATGGTGATCAAACACTTGTAGGCAGGCTGATCCGGCCTCTAGAAGAGCTCAGCTACCAAGTCACTGTCAGAGACTGTAATGATGTGAAGCTTGGAAAACAACTTCAATTGATAACCAATACCATCTGACTCAAGAAGCTGCCTTGGGGCTTTCAACCTTACAAAACAGATTTTGTGAGTGTTCTCTACTTCTCAGGCTAAAGTGATTTCAATAAAAGTTAAGAATAACCTCTAACACAGGGTGAAAGTGGGGCTCAGCCTGGGTCACAAGATCACGTCAACAGGACATGTGCATCAAAAGAAAAAGGAGCCCTGGCCAGGTGGCTCAGTTGGTTGGAGTGCTGTCCTGTGCACCAATGGGCTGTGGGTTCGATCCCTGGTCAGGGCACATACCTAGGTTGTGGGCTTGATGCCCGGTCAGGGAGCGTATGGGAGGTGACAAGCTGATGTTTCTTTTTCACACCTCTCTCTTTCTTTCTCAAATCAATAAACATATCCTCAGGTGAGGATGTAAAAAAAAAATATTTTTAAAGACAAAGGGAAAAACAAAAGTCACTCCTGACACAAAGTAAAGCTGACAAAAGGAAATGCTATACCTGGCTTCCTTCCAGCCACCACTTAGACGCAACAGTTAGTCACGAGAGCCCTGTGGGCAACTGACTGAGTCCATGAAGTCTTTCAGAGCCTGGCTGGTCGTCAATATCTGCAGGGGCTGCGCTGCTCCTCCCTGACCAGGCTGCGCAGGCGTCCCCTGCAGCATGGACCTGGGCTGCAGTGCAGTGTCTCGAGGGAGTCTCAGCCAGTGTCCGGCGGACCCTGACCTGGGCCTGCAGCATGCGGGAGTTGAGCATGTGAGGCAGGATCTTCAGCGCGAACCACACAAAGAAGCCATTCTTCAGGGGAGTGACAGAATATATTGTAACTGCTCCCTTCCCATCAATAGGCATCGTTTTAATGGGTGTGTTAGAATTTCTCCCACTTGAAGTTAACACCGTTCCCATTTCAATGAAAAATGGGAGATCCCTCATTGGTAGAATCACAATTCACCCACAGCAGCTGCCAGACACAAGAGCAGACGTGCCAGACATGCACAGGGCTGATTTTTTATCTCTCCAGGCAATGCTTCATTTTATAATTTGTCTCCTCTTAAAACAAAGAGTTGAGCAAGTTACAAATATAATGAGGATATTTCTGAACAAGCGATAACACAGGCCATGAAAGTGCTGAGGGCTGCTCGCTTACCTCTGGATCTGGCTGGAAGGTTTGTTCATCTTCAGCGGAGTTTGGTAAAATTGCCCAGGTTATGTTGGCACTGGCTGATGGCAAAGAGCCAAATGTCCCATTTTTCAGCGGCTCTGTGGAATGTGACTTGGGCCCGTGCCATCCCAGGATGTTTTCTGAAATAAAGACCTAGATTGATGCCAAGTATTTTCCAAATTAAACACTTATAACTCAAGAAATACTTGCACCTCGCTGCACACAGTAATGCACTTGAAATGGGCCCACTTTTGAATGGACTGGGGTGACTTTAAGTGGAGTTTGTTTTGCATGACGTACCAAGCGTAGCTCCAGATCACCTATTTATAAACTAGCTTCTGTAGAATGGCACTCTCCGCACCATCGGCTGTTTCTCTCCCCATCCTTTGACGCAAACAATTCACATCCCCCCCCAAGCCGCAGTTTCTTAAAGGTGCTTCTTTTATTTTTTTAACTTAAAAAAATTGGTTTAAATGTTTACAAAAAAAAATAAAATAAAATAAAATTTTACAGAAACAGGCTGCTCCAAATGTGGTCTGAACACCGCTAGACACGATGACCGCAGCTTAGAAAAGACGGCCACGGTGTGATCACGTCACGCCGCCTCTGCCGTCAGATGTGGCCAGCGTGGAAGCCCCGTCACCAACGACAGATGTGGTCATTCCATTCCAGCTAGAAACACTGTTACAAACGCCAATCTGGGAAACCAAAAGCATTTTTCTAATCCTCCCCCAAACCCTTGGGGGGGAAAAAAAATAAGACTTGCTAGAGTCTTCTCTTTTTTTAAGAGTCACGTGTTGTTATAGAATATTTGTACATGCCTACCACTGGGGACAGGAGTCATCAGAGTTGGATTTCTTTACCCTTTTAATAGCAATTCTACCATTAGAGTTAGTACAGGTCTCAAACCCAGCTGACCTACCCGCTGAACATTGTTTTCGGTGTAAATGCAGGGGTAAGTGATGAAGAAAGAGTAGGCGGAAGTGGAGGCTGCTCATGCAAACCAGAACACAACCTTTCAGCATCTTAGATGTTCTATCCATCAAGTAATCGTATGCATCAGCTTTTTCATTACAGTTACTCAAAGAAAAATCTAAACGTGCTTATACATGTGTTAGCGTGTGCAATATTATCCAGCCCAATATATTTTTACGCAGGAACCTTTTCTTTTTTAAATGTCAAGCGTTACATCTTGTAACTCTGCTGCTTAAAAGCCTCAACTGGTTTCTCATTGCAACTGAAACACAGTCTAAACTGCCTGCCTTGTGAGACTGCCCAGCCTCATTTCATTCTCTCCCCGCTGCTCACTATCCTTAAGTCATGCTGATGTTTTTTCCTTTCCTCAAGTGAGCCGAGTTCATTGCAGTCAAGACGCTTTGTGTGTGCTGTTTCTTCTGCTCAGAGTGCCATCCCTGCAGTCCTCTATGGGGGAAAGAGGTGTCCTGCATCTATCCCGGGACTGCCTCAATGTCACTTGCTCAGTGAAAGCCCCCTGTGACCTTTCTGGCCAAAGTGGCACCTAAAGGCACTCCCTGTCACATCAGTCAGTTTCCTGTCTTCACACACTTAGCACTACCTGAACTCACCCTGCTAATTTTTTTTTTTTTTTTTTTGGTCTAGCATCTTTCTCTCCTCCTTAGAAGGACAGCCCCTTGAAGGCAGGGACAATATCGTCCTTGCCCATGGCTGTGTTCCTAAAACCCAGAATATGGTCTCGCAAAGGGTGGACACTTGCAAATATGTGCAGAATGAATGAATAACTCAAGATTTTCAGAGATAGTAAATTTCAAAAGAAGTGTGCATTTTACAACCTCCTAAAAGTTACATAAAAAGAAAGAAAAAGTAGAATGGTGGATGCAAGGGCCTGGGAATGGGGTGGGGGAGTGAGAATGGGGAGTTATATCCAATGGGTACAGAGTTTCAGTTTTGCAAGAAGCTATGAGTTCTGGAGATTGCTTAATAACTAAGTGCATGTATATAACACTACTGAGCTGGGTAGTTAAGAATAGCTAAGACAGTAATTATTTCGGCAGGGGGGTTACAATTTTTTTAATGGCAAAAGGGCATCCATATATTAGCCTTTGCTGTTACCTAAAAAAAGGTGAAAACATACAACACTAAAATCAAAGGCTGCAAGATGATCTAAGACCAAACTTGGATTCAAGACACCAGGACTTGCTGTAAGATTGGTGAAAAGCTACTTCTTACCTGTCCGGCTGATCAACTCCTGCTCAGAGTCCTGAAGTTGCATTCAGATCTTAAATGCTGAGCAACTGTCTCATTAATACAAGGGTACCACTTTTTAAATTTGTATTTTATTACACAAGTAGTACATGCCCTCTCGATTAATTAGGAAAGCTTAAGAAGCACTAGGGGAAATAATGAGATCTGCTTGCCTAGCCAATCAGGAGAGAGTTCCCTCCATCACCCCCACACCGCAACTCTGCCCCTCCCTCCCCTCTGGAGATTCCATCATTCAGAGATGAAAACCCGGGAGACAACAGAGCAAGAAGTAGAGGCTGGCCAGGCAGTGATATCTTGCATCCTGGGATAGACAAAAGACAGGACAGGAGGACTGACAATAGCAATGCATGCTGGGAAATGTAGTTTTCTGTATACTCCATGGATTTAGAATATCAAAAAACCAGTGACTGAGGACAGGAGAGAGATCCATCTCATACCATGCCAGGTGCTCTAAGAAATGAGCACTGGTTTGTGAATCTGGATAGACAGGTCTCCTTTGGGGATGAAGGAGGAAAATTCTAACAGAAGAATGAATGAGAAGGGTTGTATAGAGCAAAGGTATCCTCAGGAGGCTTTGAGGAAGAATATATCGCTGAAATTTCTACATAAGGTGTCAGAGAAAACATCAGGAAAGGTGCATCCACATCACAATACAGGATGATGTAGCCTCTATGAAATAGGAAGAGAAAGCCAGAAGAAGGAAACAGGCTGAGGTGGAAAGGAGACGAATGCCCTATGGAATGGTTATGAAGAAATGAAATCAGTAGTAGTAGAATTAAAAGGAACGCTGAAATTGAAAAGTCAAATCAACACTGTAGAAAGTCAAATAAGGCAGTTCTACCAGTGCAGTTGCAAAGAGCACAAAGACAGCAATTAGACAGGATGTAATAGAGACAACACACAACAGCAATTAGATGGGAGGTAATAGAGACAACACATAACAGAGATCCAAGAGATCCTGAAGGACAGCGATCAGATCAATGGGACCGAAACAATAAGCAACAATAGAGGTAAAGAAACAGCTCGAGCTGAAGAGAGAGTTGTGGGTGCGCTGCTGAAACAGTCCACCACACTCGTGCAAAAGCTTGGCAATGTTTTCTTAGGCTTCTTACAACTGAAATTTCAAACACATACAAAAGCAGACAGACAGAGCAGTTTAATGAATGTCTAGCTGGTGAAGTTTGGCAACATTTTTGAACAAAAATCAAGAGAAAATTTTTTCAATCGTTTAGGCAGAAAAATTAGACTTGTCTTAACAGGGAAAAAAATCAAGCTAGTTTTGAATTATGCTACACAACACTAAATGCCAGAAGGCAAACAAAGAGAAGAATGCAAATAAAAGTCTATAGATTGAGGGTGAGCTGAGGGGCTTAGGGGAATAATGCTCTTCCTCAGCTACATCATCTTTCCTCTGCTAACAAAGAGTCCACATTCATTGAGCTCAAGATCTATTGTACACAACCTACATGTGATAACCCATGTAATCCTAATGACAACCCATGAGGTAGGTCCTACTATTACGCCCAACAGATAAAGAAACAGAGGCACACAGAGCCAGCTACGTGGTAGAATTAAGATTAAAACCCAGGTAGCCTGGCTCCAGAGCCCAGACTCTTAAACTCCACACTGTTTTCCTTTTCAGCAGCAGTGAAGAGATTCGGAAAACATTCAGCCTTCTGGTGGTTAAAAAACTCCTTGAGGACATATAATACTACCGTCATATGTAGAGAAAAGAAGCAGAATTAAAAACTCAAGACTGGAGAAGTCACATATAAGAGGACTAGTGGTGAGCAACGAACCCAGTAAAACACAGAGCTGAGCGTGACTGGAACTAGGCTGAAGTAAAGACGCTCCCATCGGATGTAAAATTTAAAGAGCCACCAAGATACTCAGATAAATGATATTTTCACACAATATTAGTAAAATCAAAATTAATGCCTCCCCAATCTTACAGGACTTCATCTCACTTGCCTCTCCCTAGTCTCACCATGTCAAATCCTGTCTTTATTTAAAATTTTGATATTTTGTTCATCCTGAATTTTTTTACATTAATTTTGATTTAAAAATGTTGCAAAGCATCATTTATCTTCATTATTTTGGCGCCCCTTAAATGTATGCTCAAGGCAAGTGCCTCTCTCACCTCATCCTCATTCCAGCCCCGGAACTGAATTTAAATAATTTTTCTAAACATGGTTACATAACTGAATATTAAGTCACAATTATTTTAAAGAGATGTAATCATTATCATGCATTAAGTATTAAGTTAATATTAAAATATTAATAACAGCCCCTACATTATATCACCAAAAATCAGGGAACAAGGAAATTAAAGTACGCTGAGTCTTCATCCCTCAAGGAGAAAGTCAGAAAATAATGTCTCATTCTTGACTTTGCTGATTAGAAAAATACAGGTTGAAGAACGTGCATGAAAATGTTAACGGCACCATGAAAATTTATATTTGTATTTTTTCCCAAAACACTACAGAAAAGGAAATGACAAAATGGGGGGAGAGGGGACAAGAAAAGCAACATGGAAACATAAAACACCACACAGCAGTTTAAAAAAATAATAAATGGAGATGGGGGGAGTGGCATAAGGGGGATAAATGGCAATGGAGGAAAAACTACGATAAAACAAGCTTAAAAAATAAATAAATGGACTATATCACTCTATTGAACGAGTCTCAAGATTGTGTCATAACACAAAATGCTAGTCTGAACCATATTTCATTCACTGTAAGACATACCTAATTTTCACATTTTAACATCTCTGAAATTGGAGTTCATCTTACAATCAATGGAGTGTCACAGTTTAATTGGCAACTTTTTCTTTCTAATGGCACAAAGGAAAACAGTGTGTTTTACTACTGATGCCGTTTGACAGGGGAGAAAATATGCCTCCCCTACGGAAAGCGCCCCAGAAATGTCTAAAGTAAAAGAAGGCCAAAAACATCCACATGAAAAGGAGGCTGGGACCAAAACATCACCATGGGGTCGCTGACTGATGGTAAAATCAAAGAGCTAGGGATCAATCACTTGTCTCTACGGGCCACCCTCATGCTCAGTTGCAGGGAGCTCATCAAAGATGACACAGCAGAAGAGAATAGGACGACGAAGGGTCGGGTGGCCCACCAAAAGGCCAATCCCGCCGTTCAAACAGGCTTTCACACATGCCCCGAGCTCCTCACGCCACACACCTTAGCACATGAAGAAGAAAAGCAACTCAAAGTATTTGGTTCCCCGAACCAACCACAAAAAAAGGTTACAGGAGGTTTAACTATGGGCTTAACAGTTTGACTGTGGAACAGCCTTGATCTGTCCTTGGCCTCAGTGTCAACTATGCTTGAGGTGCTGAGGGCCAGAGTCCCCACCCCGGGGCTCTGAGGCCCCCGCCCAGAGGCCAGTGACATGTGGCTGCATGGGGCAGGTCTCTCCCTCATCCTGTAACAGTGAATTCATGCCTCCCAGGTTCAGTAAACCTAAAAGCGGGCTCCAAAGGGGAGTGAGACGCGCAAACTCGAGAGAAGCAGAAGGCATGTTTACAATGGGAAGCTGGGATGTTAATATCTAACAGCTTTCTCTTGAGAAGCTGCCACTCAAAAACTCTGTTTAGAGAGAGATTTGAAAAAAGGAAAAAACCCACCACCTGACACATTCTGCAATGCTAGTTTTTCTTTTTTCCTAGTGTGCTATTTCCTGAAGGACTCATCCCATTCCCACCTTGGCTTTCAATCAGAGGAAGAGGAGGAGGCTCCCGTGGGGCACACTGCCCCGAAACAGAGGTGTCGGGAAAGAGGGTGTAAGAGCCGGAGAAGGCACAGGGCTCCCCTGAGTTGGGGGAGGGAGGTGAACACTGTGAGTCTGAAGATGTCGCTGGAAAAAAGTGAAACGCAGCAGAAGGAAGGAGGTGACCAGCCAGAAAAGCCAAGAAGAGTCCTCATCACAGTCTCACCCAGTTGACCCTTTTGCCAAACCCCCAAATGGGAGCAGGACCAATGCAACTGGCTTATTAACTGAACACCCCACAAACCTCATAGGAGAATGAAAACGTTATTACAAGGATGAGTTTAGAAAAGAGCATTAAATTCTGCTCTGGTTCTCCTCTCGTCAGTTACACGTCTCTTGACCTCATGTCCTGATTTATGTCCAAGGGCACCTGTGTCACCACTGCCAGTCCTCAGGGCTCTACTGTCACTGGCTCTGGCAGCTCTTCCTCCAGCATTCTTTCCCAGCATGGCTTGCACTGACCATTCTCTTAGCACCCAGCTCTTAACCTGGCTCTAGAATGTGTTTATCTGGTGATAGGTACCCACTTCTGACTTTGAACCACATGCCCTGCATCAAGACCTGCAAGCAAGGGACTAACCAGAAGCAGAGACAACGGACTCTGCACCCCCAAATTCCTTTAAAGGTCTAGTTTCTCTCGCACACTGGGCACTCCACCTAAAAAGGCCAGACTCCCCGGTAGCCCAGCCTTCCCCAGCTCTGATGTAGTCCTGCCTGTCTTTCTACGTGGAATCGGAGGCTTGCATCTCGGCTGGGGAGAAAGATGCTCACGTGCCCTCCTTCAGCAATCATCTGCCTGCAGCCAGCTGTTGAAGGAGAGCTGCAGAACATAAGCCTTAACCAAAAAGCCAAGCCACTTTATTAATTTTAATTACAAACCTCTCCACACAAACAGAAGTTCAATGAAGCATTTCAGCTCACTATATCTTAGACACGACATCAGACTCAGGCCTAGGATCCCAAAACACACACACGTAGAAGGCAGATGAATACAAAAGTATTTTTGGATTTCATTCCAGGTGCTAGGTGTGTTTGAGATGAAATAAGCATTAGGAAGCAACATTTGCAGGCAAAGGCTCCAAAGACAAAACATTCCCCGGAAGATACAATGAAATCTTACAGCAGAAGATGGAGCAGATGAAACACTACACGACCACAAAATAATTTTTGATTCAAAAAAAGACAGAAGAAAAAAAAAAACAACAACAACAGTGCAGGGGTCAGAAAGCAAAAAGACCTGAGGAACAGTGTGTTTGGATACTTGGTATTGGGGGGCGAGGTGGGGGGTCCTCTGTGCCTCCCTGCCCACTGAACCTGTGAAGGAAGCCCTGGGAGAGTTCTGCTTTGCTGCGATTCTGATTTCCATCAACACAGCCTGGCACGCCTTCGATACAACCACTGAGTTTTTGTCAGCGGGAGTCAGACTGCTATGGCTATGATCGACCTCAAGAGCCCCGAGATTCTACACAAATGTATTTTGTGACAACACTCCCAGGGTTACCATGTTCTCTTATGCCACTGGTTTGAGATTCCGGGATTCGGCTATAACTGCAGGCAGCTATGATGTTTCAGACGCAGGGAGCTATTCCATTGCCCCCTCAATGTGTGGCATGGGTTTAAAAGACACATGCAGAATCTTTTCAAACTTAAGGGGCTGTGTTATATGGAACTTAACTTTTTAAAAGGGTTGAGAAGACAAAGAGACAAAAGAACCACTGTGATGCTTCATGCTCCCTGTATTCTCCAACCTCCAGTCAAGTTCCGTGACAAAGGAAGGAGGGGAGGCTGGACGAATGGGCCAAGAAGACAGGGAGGAGGTAACAACATACGTGGCACAATTTCCAGGATACTGCTGGGTCTCTCCTTTTCCCAAATAGTTTCCATTTCAACCTGTCACCACATCTGAAATTCTACCTTGCGTTTTGTCCTTCCGGGTCCTTAAAAGAACACCAGAGACCCAAAGAAAATTAGGGAGAAGAAAAGGTAGACATTTGCTAGAAACTATCCCCAAAGAAAGATGTAAGGGATTAATTTTATGAGGAAGGTGATGGTTCTAGCTTACATTTACCAGCAAGACACCCTTGGAAGGAGCCTGCTGGGTTGCAGAAGTTACGATACACCACGGAAGAGATCACAGAGCAGGAGAAGCCTCCAGTCTCACCCTGGGTCTGCGCCCATGCCCCCCTGGGGTCACACAGGCTCCCTCCAGATCGGGACATGTCAAGGGGGGATTCAGCATCAGTTTCATTTCTCAGCGGCAGAGGAAGACAGAAGAGCAGGCTGGGGCCCTTCCAGCTATGCCTGAACACACATACATATCCACGTCTAGAGTGGATCCAGCACCAGAAATGTGTTTCTTTTGTCATGAAGGACAGTAATTGAGTAATTGGCAAAATTCAGTAAGGTCTGGATTAGGTAATAGGACTGTATTCATCTGAATTTACTGACTTTGACCACTCTGCTACCATTATGTAGGAGAGTGTCCTTTCTTAAGGACTGAAGTGTATAAGAGTAAAGGTATATCACGTCTGCAACATCCTCTTAAGTGGCTACAAAATTATAACAGGTTTATATAGAAAGAGAGAAGATGATGAAGCAAATGTTATTATTTGGGAAAACTGGATGGATAGATGAGAATTCTTCATACTGTTCCTGCAACTTTTTTAAAGTAAAAAATAAATAAATCAATCTATACCTGCCCTTGAGAGAGTTATTATGTGAGCATGACAGTGTCCCTGGCCCCAGTTAGAGGACCCAGAGCCCACCAGGTGGCACAAAGAACCCAGGTGGCATGGTGGGAAGGGCCTGTTGCTCACCTCTTAGCTGGGGGAACTTGGACAAGTAATTTAACTGCTCTCAGCCTCAGTATCTCATCCAAATGATGAGCATAATACTATCTACTTTGTGAAGATTTCAGAAAATGTGTATCGAAGGCCCAACACTGGTAGAATCGAACCTCAGTAAATGACGGGAAATACAGACAGAAACCCAAATTATCCATATGCAGTCTACTCTGAAAAACGAACACTCCTTTTCATTTTAGTGCAATGGAGAGCAAAAGGGACTTGAGGAAAGTATAAAGTATATCATCATAGCATAGCTTTATTTTTCATCTCTTAAGTTGCCTTATTTCCTCATTAAGTAAGTTAATCCTGGGCAATAGAACTCAGGCTACTGTTAGTCTCTTAATTCTAATACTTTATAATTCAACCCGACATAACCAACCCCAAGCTAGTTTCATCTTTATCATTGAATTTAATCTTCACTAATATCTTTAAATCTGCTCACTGATTAAACCCTCCCCCTAAAGGACTGAGGCATCTTAAGGGGGTATATTATCATCTCTGGCTTCTTGATTAAGAACTAGAAATGCCTCTGGTATGTATTCCATAGAAATTCTCACACAAATCCATGCGGGGACACACAGGACGATGCTCACCGCAGCAAAGCAAGCAGACAGAGAGCAGGAGGCAATGTGTGTGTCCACCATCGGAGAGTGTTGGGTAAAACGTGGTGGACACACAATCTAGGCATGGTTAGAAATAATGGACCAGACGCTGCCTAGCAATGGATCTTAAAAACACAACACTGAGTGCAAAGCCACAAATGGAATGAGATTCTGAATGTGATGCCAGCAAGTTTAAAAGGAGTTCTTGTAAATATGTTAGTTAAATGTTTCATAGGACAGTGTATTTCTAATTGGTAAAAGAAAAATATATCCTAGATGGGAGGGAAGGAGGGAAGGATAAATGGAGAAGGCCTTGGGTACCAAGATCGATGGATGGATGGTGGATACAAGTGTGAATGTGAAGGAGGAAGGCAATCCTGTGCATGTGTGGAAGCGCCCACACCCTGGAAAGCACTCATCTGCAAGCACAGAACTGCCCTCCAGGGGTCTTACCTGAGGCCGCCGGCTTGTGGCTGGGCTGGCCAACCTGGTGCACACTCTGCTGTAACAGGCTGAGGCACTCCCCAAGGCAGCTGAGGGTGGCGGCAGAGGTAGCTTTCAGGAGCAGCAGGTCCTGGTCCAAGGCAGTGAGCGGGCCAGACCCTGGCAGAGACTCGATGGCGTGCACAAGGTTCTTCTGCTGCCCTTCGACCTGGTTCATCATCTACAAAATGTGAAGACAGCAAACAGCTGAGAGTCAGAGTTCTCCTTTCGACAGACTTGGGAGCCACCCACGGGACCGGAGGAAAGTCAGAGGAAAGTGGGGGGAGAAACCATCATCAGACGACAAGTGACATCAGAGTCAGCCCAGAGGATGTTCAGTACAGGAGTCCTTGAGTCCTTGGACAGTGCTGGCCTGTGTGAAATCTGTCAGTCCAAAGGCGCACATTTTCACCTGATAAGAAGAGAATTTTAAAAACCAAAGTGGGGAAGGGTTGAGGGAGGGAGAGGGGGAAGGGGGCAGGGGAAAGTGGTGGGGGAAAGGCAGAGACAAATGTATTTGGAAAAATAAATTAATTTTTTAAAACATCAAAAAAAAAAAGAAGAGAATTTCAGAACTTCAGAGCTGAAAGGGAACATTCGGACCATCTGGACACATCATTTACAACTCCTCTGAAAGTCAGTCAATAACAAATACATCACAGGTGGAGGTCCTTGTGAGCATCTGTAAGGTCCTTTTTACCGTGGAAGGTCATCTGAGAGAGTGGGTGAACCATGGCTTCACCTATAGCAAAGTTACTACCTTGCTTTTCCTCCAGCTCCTATTCATAATTCCTTGACAGTCTTTTTAAAGTTCAAGAAACAGAAGTGCAATCTCAGGCTGCTGATTTGTATGAGTGAGATCAGAGGAAAGCCAGCACCAAATCATTTCACCCCTGCACCCTGCTCCCCGCCCCCCGCCCTCCCCCGCCCAGAATGTCAAAGAGGACGTGACTTCCTTAAGGCCACGTAAGATGACAGGAGGAAAGCAACCCGGGGATTCTAGAGCCCGCTCTCTGCCACGGCTGAAGCTATGACAACCCCAAATAACCCTATTTTTGTGGCCTCACTTCAATTCATAAACTACAGATAAGTAGTCTAATTTTATCTTCAAATGGACAGATCAAGGGGAAAAGAAACTCAAGAACGACAAAAGGACTTTTCTGGTTATCTTGTGAAGTTGATCTCCCTCCTGTTTTACAATGTAGCTCATGAAACAAGATGATGTATAGAAAGTACACGTCTAGCAAATAAAGAGTCGTTCTGGAAAGTGGAGGAGCTAAAGCAACGCGCCCCAAGTGCAGAGCTCGCCAGCACAAGTCTCCAAGCGCCAGTCCGCTGTTCTTCAACTTCCCCCACAAAAGCCATCCTTCATTTGAAGCAACACCTCCTGCTTTGACACTGTCATCCCCACAGGCTCTTTGTGAGCATCATGTCATCAGCTGGGGAGAAGCAACGATTCTGTTAGGACCCTTGGCCTTGGACATGAAACTCATTCCGTGCTCAGCCTTATTTTTCTATTTTCTTTGGAAAACAAAGACTTGCTGTTTTCCAGCAATCTGTGCAGTTGTCTGCTTTAAAAGGGAAAAAAAATCATCCCCTGCAATCCTACTTGCCAAAATAGGTGCCGTTACTTCAGAAAGATTTTTTTTTAAAAAAAAATCAGTGTTGAACGTTTTGCACGGACAAGGTTTGCAGCATCCTCACCTGAGTGTACACACTCATCCTTTGGTCATGTGCGTTATTTTTGTGCAGATTACAGAGACTATACTCAGTCACTCTAGCTTTTAAGACAGTACCTGAGGCACAGCAGGGGCTCCCTAAGTATTCACTTCTGCAGGTAGGTCTTTGCTTTGAAGTCACCTTCTGAAGACAGTTTCCCGAACCACATCACTTAAAGGTGCACCTCCAGCCCAGCCCTTGGCACGCCTAGCTTCCTGACCAACTTATCTTTCTCCATAGCGCTTACCACCTTTCAACCCAACCTGGAATTTATTGTGTTCCTTTGCCCTAGGATGAAAGGGGGGATTATATCTTTGCTGGCTGCTAATATACCCCAAGTACAGTAAATACCTGCCGCATGAGTGAGCACATGCATGACTGTCCAGCCTCGTTCTTCTGTCACTCAGCTAAACCGCCATGCTTGGTTAGCATAACATGGCTGAGGTTTAGTAAAGGATCGTACCTCCATCATCAATGTAGGTTTGCCAAGAAAATGCTACCTACTGGTTTAATTTAACTTCAAAATAGATCAAATGTTTATGCATTCTTTGACAGTCAACTGTATGCAGAGCTGCTGACAGCGAGGGAGAAGTGGATTTCAAACTATCTGTTGTAGTCAGCATTTCTGTAACTTCCAACCATAAAATCATGTCTTAGAAAAATGATGTGTTGAAAGGAAGAAAACAAAATGATGAAATGTATAATACGTTATGTTCTTTGACTATTATGCATAGTGCAATCACGCTTAAGAGAAAAGGTAAGTAAAATTAAGCCATTAACAATATGGAATATACTTGTTTTTAATCAATGAAAAGAACTAACTATATTCCAGTTGTATCATATAGAATAAATACTTATTTCACAAGCATAAAATATTATGTAAATCTCAGGTAATTGAAAACACAAAACTGACTTACAGAGTCTTCTTGTGTATTTCAAACCAGGCACATGTCCAGAGATGGAATCCACATACCTGCTCTCTATAAAGTACTCAACAGTATTTACTGAGAGCCTATTGCCAGTGCCAGAGTCAGGACCGCCCTACTCAAGGGGGCATCTGAACCAGTGGTGGGTATGCTGGCCAGTTACAATGTCTGAGAACTACTGGCACTGAGAGGGAGGGGCTCAAGGGTGTAAAATACCCCGCAAGCCTGGGCACAGTCCATACAACAAGAGCTTCCTGCTCAAAATGCCAAGAGTGCCCCCTTGCGTAACCCTGGGCTAGAGACATAGAAATAACCATGCCCTTGATGAATTTCAACATCGTTCTTGGTAAACTGAGCCCCTCAAACAAAACAAGCCTCGCACAAGGCCTGATACAGAGTAGACTCCTCCTCACAACTCATTTTCTCCCCTTTTTCCATGTGGCACTAAATGGAAGTTCAGTCTTTAAGGACACAATTGATACCAACCTTCACTTTATTTTTGCTTCATCAGGCCCCAAAAGAAATGGAATGAACCCTAAAAGGAATGCAGGGCAGCCGGCCTCAGAGAGTAGAGCGGAGTTATCACTGGGCTAACATTTCTAAGGCTGGAAGAATCTGCATCCGACTTTAGAAGAACAAGTTTTAGCTTAGCTATTTCCACCTCTAATTTTAATTAAGGGCACATATGAGAAGACAAAGGTGGCCCTGAAAAGCTGTGAGCATCAAGAATACCAACAGCCAATGCTTCAAGTGGCTTCCTCTCCCCTTCAAGGTTCCTACCCCTCCCAGACTTTGAAAATGTTGAGCCACCTGAATTACCTAAGTTTCCTATCTCAGCGTGCCTTCCAAACACATCAACATTCATCGTTTGGAGTTATTTACAAACAAAAAGATGCACAAGTTTCATTTCTTTCTGGCATTTGGCTTTCATGACCAGGGACATCACCATCGTGGAACACAAGGTTCAGATTTCAGAGATCCACCGCCTGGAACTGCCAGCTCTGAGGTTGTAAAATCATCCACGTGTAAGTCAAGTTGAACTTCGCAAATAAGCAAACTTCACAGAGAGGGGAAAATTCCACGGCCCATTTATCTAGCACAAACAATGGCATATGCATGACAAAATCAAATCATAGGAGTTAAGGCCAATAAAATCAGTAGTGGCAGCTTTTATTGTATTGCTTTATTTCAATAAAGCTGAGACAAAAGGTGACAGGGGCTTCATTTGCCTTGATTGCTTCAGACCGCTCTGAGCTGCGCACCTTGGGACAGGTTTAAGAGGCGCCAGAAAGACCCAGGCTTGACAGGCCAGATGTCCGTGAACACCAGCTTAGTCGCTCATCCATTAGTAATCAAAGGACGCAGATTCCTTATTCTAAAGTAACCAGGGCTGCCTGCCTTAGTTGGCAGAGCCTCCCTGGGTTCACAGATTCCTTGGTACCGTCAGTAATTCAATCTACCTTGCTTGGAAGTAGACCAAACAATTTGATGCGAGCTTCAAGATGGCATTAATCTGGCATTTCTCCTTAGCCTCGTGTAATTCCAAAGCCCCTGCTAAGTCTCTCCTCTGGGTCAGAGATCAGCCCTTGGCTAAATTAGGTACTCTTTCACTTGGCCAAAGTCCTCCTCTAAACTTGAAAAAAGTCCTCTTCATGGAATTTAAGAATCAACACACATATGCAGCTGCCTCCATTAATGTTGATTTACTATTCCACTACCTTCATTAGCATCACTTTAATATCCCAGAAATGGTTTGATAGCTCATTACAGAAACTTCCTGAAATATCCATCAACTCTGTAATGGAAACCATCAAATACAGTTTGTACCCTAAAGTTCTTGGAATGCCCTGCCTCAAAATCCTTGCCTCACTGTTTCCACCAACCCCAAAGTGGTGTATCTTGGTCTTTACCTAATGCCAATCAAGTCCTTGTCTTGTAACGAAGCTTCAAACCCTCCAATCCCGACCTTGCCTTCCCCTCAGAGGCACGCCCAGTGCCCCGTGGAGGTGGGGCCCTCCCTCGCAGGGGTGGTCGGTCAAGTCACTCTGTCTTACCAACAACACAAATTGTTGAGAGCCAAAGGCAAAGGCAAAATTCTGAACTGTGCGCACACACAAACATTCACGCGCACACAACAATGATTCAAAAAACACTTTCTGAAAAGGTGGGGATGAGTCTATTCCGTTTCTTAAAAGCGGGTTCCTTTCTGTCACACCTTCACCTTTGGCTTTTCTACCATCACTCCCTCGCCACCCCCAATAATAATTCCAACTAGACAAATATGAAATGCAAATTGTATCTTTACAAACTCCCAGAAAGCAAACCCACGCAGATGTTTAAAGCTATGATAGTAGCATTCATAGCCAAACGAACCTGATGACACTGTCACATCTGTCCCTTTCATGTTGCAGACAGGAAATCTCAGCTCTGAGGGGTCAGGGGCCCTTGCGGAGCTCACACAGCTTCACCACTTCAGGGATCTCTGCGCCATGAAACATGAGCCTGTGTGCTTCTTTCTCATACTCTTGGAGCAAAA